AAAAAAAAAAAAAAAGACTTTTGAACATATTTACAAATAAACAGAATAAAGAACCTATGTGAACTGCTCATCCCAGCTCTGACAACTGTCAACCACCCAACTGAACACCTCCATTTACTTCTTTTATTTTTTGAAAGAAAATCCCAGAAATAATTATATTCACTATTATTTCAGTATGTATCTCTAGAATATAGCTCTTTGTACTAAAATACCTATTGTGGCTCAGCGCCTGTGGCTCAAGTGGCTAAGGCACCAGCCACATACACCTAAGGTGGCAGGTTCTATAGGTGCGGGTTTGAATCCAGCCTGGGCCCGCCAAAACAACAATGACGGCTGCAACCAAAAAATAGCTGGGCGTTGTGGCGGGTGCCTGTGGTCCCAGCTACTTGGGAGGCTGAGGCAGGAGACTCGCTTGAGCCCAGGAGTTGGAGGGTGCTGTGAGCTGCCATGGCACTCTACCCAGGGGGATAGCTTGAGGCTCTGTCTCAAAAAAAAAAAATGAATAAAATAAAATACCTATTGTATTACTATTGTACACAAAGCTAACAGTATTTATCTAGACCTACTAATATATTTACCCATTTTTATTGCATTTTATTCTTTCTTGCATTTCCAGACTTCTATTTGGGATAATTTTCCTTTTACCTGGAGACTATTTAATACTCATCTACTGATGATGAATTCTCTACTTTTGTTTGTCTGAAAATGGCTTTTTCTTTTTCTGAGGAACAGAATTTTCTTGCTCTGTTTCCCAGGCTGGAGTGCAGTGGCTAGATTATTGCTCACTGCAGCCTTGAACTCCTGGCCTTAAGTGATCCTCCTGCCCTGGCCTCTCAAGTACAGGTGCGTACTACAATGCCTAGCCAATGAAAATGTCTTTATTTCACCTTCATTTTTGAAGGATAGTTTTTGCTTGGTATAGAATTCAGACTTGGCAGTTATTGTTTTCCAGTAGTTTTTAAAAGAACCAAATGCCTTTCACTGTCTTCTTTTTTTTTTTGGTAGAGACAGAGTCTCACTTTGTTGCCCTTGGTAGAGTGCCATGGTGTCACACAGCTCACAGCAACCTTCAACTCCTGGGCTTAAGCGATTCTCTTGCCTCAGCCTCTTGAGTAGCTGAGACTGCAGGCACCTGCCACAACACCTGGCTGTTTTGTTGTTGTTGTTGTTGTTGCAGTTCAGCCAGGGCTGGGTTTCAACCTGCTACCCTCAGTATATGGGGCTGGTGCCCTGCTCACTGAGCCACAGGCGCTGCCCCAGTCTTCTTATTACTTTGGTTTCTGTGGAGATACCAGTTGTCAGTATTATTGTTGTTTCTTTGAAGATTAACTTGTCTTTTTTTTCCTCTAGCTCCTTTTAAGACTTTGGCTTTCAGCCGTCTCTGTCCCCCCTCACCCCCAGCGCCTCATGCCTGTTTTTCAAAATGAGATTTTTTCAACATGTTGACTAAAATAAGCCTAGGTATAGTTTTTTCTTTGTATTTTTCCTATTAGGGATTCTCAGGGCTCCTTGAATCTATAGTTTGATATCTTTTATCAGTTTTGAAAAAGTCTCAAATTATTTTAAACATTGCTTTTGTTCCATTTTTTCTGTATGCTTCTTCTGGGACTCCAGTTACATGTTGTTAGATGCATCCATGTATATATCCTTTTTTTCCCTGTATGCTTCATTTTGGCTATTTCCTTGTGACCTTTTTTCCCAGATCGCTACCTCTCTTTTTAATATGATCTGCTGTTAAATTTATCTATTGAGTTTTAATTTTTTCAGATCTAGAATTTCTATTAGATTCTTTTGTAAAGATTCTTGTTTGTTGCTGATATTCTTAATCTTGCCTTTCATCTTCTTAAACATATTAAGAATTTATCTTGAATATTTTGAAGTTTGTACAAGGTATAAAATATTTTTATTGTTTAGAACCCCTATAGATCTGTTTTAATTTTCTTTTTTTTTTTTTTTTTTTTGAGACAGAGCCTCAAGCTGTC